GGTAGTGGCATACTATGTTGTTCTGGGTCCGGTGTCAGTTTTTGTGGCTAGGACTCATTTGTTGATTAGGGCTAGTTTCCAGATGTCTGGTAGACGGGAGATATCGTCACGTTTATTCATGTTGTGGGGGTGTTTTTCTATTTTGATGGCTTCCATAATTATTCTCTTGTTGTGGTGTTCAGTTTTGGAGATTAGTTTGGTTCCTTCAAAGTCATTTTCATGTCCTGTAGCTTTAAGGTGCTGGAAGAGGGAGGAAGTTTTTTCTTCTTTTCTGACTGCATTCTTATGTTCTGTGATGTGTGCATTTATTCTCCTACTAGCTTGTCCAATATATGTGGCTGGGCAGATTTTGCATGGTATTTATAGACTCCTTGGTTTTCTAGCTGGATCGTGTCTTTGGGGTTTCTTAAGATGTTGGCTATTTTTTGGTCGGTGCCAAAGGCTGTCTTGATATTGTGTTTGTGGAGAATTTTGCTGATTTTATCTGTGGTGCCTTTGATGTAGGAGAGGAGGGCGATGTCGTTGTACTGTTCTATGTCTTGGTCCTTGGGGGATGTTTCCCTTTGGGTTAGGTTGGTAATAGTATTTCTTTGGAATCCATTGGAGATTAATAAGTTTGTGAGAGTGCGTAATTCAGTTTTCAGGTGGTCTTTGTCAGCTAGGCATTTGGTTCTGGAGATGAGGGTCTTAGCTACGGAGTTGATCTGTGCAGGGTGGTGGTGGGATTGTGCGTTTAAGTAGTGGTTGGTGTGTGTTTTTTTTCGGTAGATGGTGTGTCCTAGGGAGCCATTGGGATTTTTGTAGATTAGGATGTCCAGAAAGGGGAGTTAGTTGTTAGCTTCTATTTCCATTATGAATTGTATTTTGGAGTGTAGGCTGTTGAGATGTGTGAGGAAGTTGTCCAGTTTTTCTTTCCCATGTGGCCCAATTACAAAAGTGTCATCTACATATCTGAGCCAGAGTTTGGGTTTGTGTTCAGATTTGTCTAAGGCATTGGTTTCGAAGTGTTCCATGTACAGGTATGCAAGACCTGCATACCTATACCCATGAAAATCTACAAAAACAAATACACACACACACATACACACACACACACACACACACACACACAAATATATGTACAGTTCACCGTGGAAACAGAAGCTAATAATCAACTTCCCTTCCTGGATGTCTTAATCTACAAGAAATCCAATGGCTCCCTAGGACACACCATCTACCAGAAGAAAACACACACAAACCGCTATCTGCATGCACTCTCACACCACCACCCAGCACAGATCAACTCCATAGCCAAAACACTCATCTCCAGAACAAAACGCTTAGCTGACGAACAACACTTAAAAACCAAACTACACACTCTCACTAATCCAACAGATTCCAAAAAAATAAGATTACCAATCTAATCCAAAAAGAAACCCCCACCAAAACGGCAAAGCCCTCCTCCCATACATAAAAGGCATCACAGACAGAATCAGCAAGATCCTCCACAAACACAACATCAAGACAGCATTCTGCACAAACAGAAAAATATCCACCAGCCTAAGAAACCCGAAAGACAAAATTGAATTAGAAAATCAAGGAGTATATGAAATCCCATGCATCGCTTGCCCCACCACATACATCGGACAAACCAACAGAAGAATAAGTGAATTCATTGAAGAACACAAGAACTCAGTCAAAAAAGAGGAACCAACTTCTTCCCTGGTCCAAGCCACAGGACATGAAATTTCAGGACATGAAATTGACTTTAAAAAGACCAGAACTATCGCCAAAACTGAACACTTTAATAACAGAATAATCAGAGAGGCCATTGAGATAGAAAAACGCCCACACAGCATGAATAACGAGATGATACCTCCCGTCTACCAGCCATTTGGAAACCCACCCTTATTGACAAACGAGTCCCTAACACAAAGAATGACACCAGACCCACACTCACGAAAACCACACAGGATGTCATCATTACACATCCACGCAAAAAGCAAACCCAAACCGACACTGATGATGAGGCACGACCACAAACCAAAAGCCAGACCACAGCTGCATCATTAGCCACTTTAAACCCCTCCAATCCATACATGAAGCAAACTGACACCCACCATGAAGATGAGGCACAACCACGAACGCGAAGCCAAACAACAGCAACACAGCTCACCATCTAACATCCCCCTGCAACTCAGACTAACCTGAGCACAATAAAGCCCCCACCCAAACAGAACACTCCCCCATCCAATCAGAGCACAGCCAACCCCCCATCCAATCAGAGCACAGCCAAGCCCCTAACCAATCAGAACACACCTCCACCCAATCAGAACACAGCCAAGCTCCCATCCAATCATACTCCCACTGGCAGTTAAAAGGAAGAAACAGCTAAAACCACACATTGCTGCTCAAAGCAAGAAGCTAAAAACACCAGCCTGAAGATGACGAATGTGACTTCGTCGAAACGTTGCCAAGACACTTCCAATTTTACGCGGGAGAAAACCCGAACAACCAAAGACATATATATATATATATATATATATATATATATATATATATATATATATATATATATATATATAGAGAGAGAGAGAGAGAGAGAGAGAGAGAGAGAGAGAGCATCAAAGATTTCCCTTGGAAGAATTACAAGCTATTATTACAGCTATGTCAAATTGTGAGAATGCAACTACCCTACTAAACCAATTTTACGAAAGGAAGGGTTATAAACACTGTAGAAATCATGCATTCTTGGAAAAGGTATTGTAGAATTGTTGCAGGATATAGCAGAACAGGAAAAATTGATTACAGCAACCAGTATTTCCTTTTCTTTCATATTATCAGTGAACTCAAGAAGACATTTGACTTCTCCTAGATGTCTCCTATTATTTTTATTTCTAGCTCATCCTGCCTTAAGAATCTATCACTTATTTGATATAACTCTCATTTTGTGAGACACTCAGGAATTTTTATCCAATCTTATTTTCATGTGTAACTTTGAACCCAAGATAACTTGTCCAGACATTCCTCCTTTAACAATAAAATTAATAGTCTTCTTACAAATTCACACAGGGACCATTAATAAAGGATGAAAATATCCTGGGATTTGAGGAGATGTACTGGATTCTAAATGGAAAGCAATGCTATTTTTGAAACCTTATCCTAGCTTAGTTTAATAAGTCATATGAAAAGAATACTGGAAGAATCTCACTTTTGGTTGGTTGTAGTAAGATCACTAAGAACCTGAAAGGTTTTAGGAAAATAATCCAATAAACTTGTATATAGGTTTTTAAATCTTGCCATGGAAGATTTAAAATCTTGGTTTTCCCAGTTGCAATGTATGGCTGTGAAAGTTGGACCATAAGAAAGGCTGAGCGCAAAAGAATTGAGGCCTTTGAACTATGGTGCTGGAGAAGACTCCTGCGAGTCCCTTGGACTGCAAGGCGTTCAAACTGGTCAATCCTAGAAGAGATCAACCCTGACTGCTCTTTAGAAGGCCAGATCCTGAAGTTGAAACTCAAATACTTTGGCCACCTAATGAGAAGGAAGGACTCACTGGAAAAGGGCCTAATGCTGGGAAAGATTGAGGGCAATAGAAGAAGGGGACGACAGAGAATGAGATGGCTGGATGGAGTAGGTGAGAACTTAAATGGACTCCAGAAGATGGTAGAGGACAGGAAGACCTGGAGGAACATTGTCCATGGGGTCGCGATGGGTCGGACACGACTTCGCAATTAACAACAACAACAACATGGAATAGAAAAATCTCACCTAAAGACATAAATCTTCAACAACAAAGAGTCGGCTGGGGAGGGATTCCTGACAATGACAGTTGGCAAAATACTTCTGGGATGTTTGGCAGAATACAGTTGCTCCTTGAGGGGATGCCAAGCAATTTTGCAGTTTTTGAAAAAATGGAAGTCTTTGGAATAGGGGAGGACCAAGATCTGTTTGACTATAGAGATCTGTAAATAGCCTGAAGCTTTTATAAGCAAATTCTGCTATAGGAAAAATACATGTGTACAAAAGCAATGAGGATAGTGCTCCGAGACAGTATTTATTCACTCTGTTTCTCTATCTGACTATGAGTGTTGATCAGAGGACAGATGGAATTTTTATATCTAATAAATGAAATATACTTTTCCATACACATGCTCTGAGTTTCCTGCCTCTATCAGGAATGAGAAAATTTGACAATGTGTTATTTTAAAAAAATAGATAAGCTGTTTCAGGAGCATAAATAAGAGAATCTATAACAGAGAATGAAATAAGCCATCTTAGAAAGGAGATAAACTATCACTAGAATAGTACTTGGGGCTTGACATGTAGTAGGTCAGTAATGAAGTCCAATGAAAGTGTGTCCCTAGCCATTATGGAAAAGAGATATAACAATTCAGACCTTTAGGACCATGGTGGCATGAGGAGTCGTGCTAGCGCAGGGGTTAGAATGCAGTATTGCAGACTAATTCAGCTCACTGCTAGGTGTTTAATCCTCACTGACTCAAGCTGATTCAACTTTCCTCCTTCCAAGGTCAGTAAATGGGACCCAGATTCTTGGGGGCAATATACTGACTCTGTAACTTGCTTAGAGAGGGCTGTAAAGCATTGTGACACAGTATATAAATCTAAGTACTATTTCTATTGCTTTAACTCCATTCTTTGCAAGTGTATTTTTCTTTGTAAATACATTATTTAATATTTTTCTGTCTACCAGTGTCTCTGTATCAGATGAGTTATGTCTAAACACATTGTTCTTAAAAGCAATCATAGTAAACTTTATTCATAGAGGACCTGTTTTACATTATTTTCAAAGAACTATTGTTCTATTAATTATATACAAAAGAAGAAATACCACTAAAAATGATGTACAGCAGAGAAAGAATAATTTAGAATTCAAATGAAGGAACTTACATATTCAAAAAGAAAAATTCTTGATATTTAGATAGACTCTAATAACATTATAAAGAATTTGCTTTTATTTGTGTGCTATGACTTAGTTTTAATATGTTTTTTTTTTCTAGGAGTATCATAGTCCTTGTTCTCTTAGTGTTTTGCATGTGCTTCCTGGTGGCATGCGTCATGTATCTACATGTCACTCGAGTACAAGTAAGTGACCTGAAATGTTGTGAAAGCTGTTGTGGAAAAGGAATATGTGTAGCAATTATCCCAGTCTTGATTTTATTTCTTTTATGTCTGTAAGTAGATAGCTGTTTTAATGTATAATACCCAGTGCTTTTTTTCTAAAAAAAAAAAAAAAAAAGTGCCAGAACTCACACACATCATACAACCCGCCTTGCCTACCCTACAAGGTTCCATCCAAAAAAGGTGCCGGAACTCCGTTCTGGGCGTTCTATGAGAAAAAAGCCCTGATAATATCTAATGCCATTTAGGATTTTTAGGAATCCTGTATTTCATTTTCTCAAAAAAATCCCCTTTTATTTTTATTGGTGAAAATAAAAATTGTACCAGTCCTGACACACAGAAGGATAATGACTGCATCACACTCCAGTAAATAAGAGATAAATGCTTGAAAAGATTTCTGCTGTGCAACTGAGTTTGTTATGAATTAATTTAGCTTACCTTAACTCTATGTTTAAATTATTATCTTGTTGATATATTGATTCTGGAGTTATAATGCTCAGTTTGCATTATTTGCATCATTATTACAAAGAGCAATAATATAAAAAAGAGAATAAAATGGAAAGATTTGGGGAAATCATATGGAGAAGTAGATAATATCTGGAATACAACTCAAGAAAGATTTTAAAAAGCCTCAAGAGAGGGTCCCATTTTCTTTATAAAGTGGTTGAAATTTGAGTACTCATTGTAACAGCTTTTACTCAACCTTACAGCTTAAAGAGAAGGCAGAGAAAGCGTCTAGTGGCCAACTTATGGTAGCCAACACCTGTGCTGCGAAGTGATTAGAGATAAACACTCAATCAAAGAACTTTGTTTCCAATCACAAGTGGAGCAGAAAAGAATTGGATTGACTGTGAGGCTAAAACTTAAAAAAAGAAAACAGCTTATTGGTGATTTTATTACCAGCATCTTCAATATGTTACTCTTCCTGTTGCTCATTCATTCTGGGCAATTTGTTGCTTGAAAAATATAAATTTTGAAGATTTTATTTATTTTATTAAGAAAATCCATTTAGCAGTCATAGCTGTTTTGCTGTTCATCTTGCTATTGGTTGAAAATAATAAATTCCAATCTATTTAATAAAATTAGGCAGGAATCAAATCTAATAACTTTAGAAATTTAATTTCAACCATTGCAATATGTTTTTCACCATATAAAAATATTAAGCTTTTGTCTAATTTTTAATACATCTGGACTAAGATAGACTTAGAATGCATTATAAGTCTCTTGAATGCTATTCTTTGTGGATGCCAATAAATACTCTTCAATCAAAATTCCATGTGTTTGTAACTGAAACTTTTACTTTTCATAAGGCATGAATCGTGAATCGTTATTTATAAACTTTATGTGCATTTTATACAACCGTAGTTTGATAAAATCTTGATTATATTAACAAAATTGTTGTGTTTTCTATTTAATATAATATAATATAATAAATATAATCAGAAACATGATTACCCTGTGACAAAGAAGTATTAAAATTTCACCCATCTTTAACTGACTGAACTTCTTTGAAATCAAATGTTAATGTAATTAAAACATGATCTGAGAATACAGTTGAATTAAATTTTATGAGCATAGGAAATAAAATATTTTTCTTTTTTGTGGGATGATGAAAAGCATCAGGACATTACTAATTTTATGACATCTTTCAATAAGAATAAGAATTGGAAAAGATCACCTGGTACCAAAGATTTGAAAATTGAACTTGAAAAATTATGGCATAAACCAGCCATAGTGGTCCCAGTGTTATTGGCAAAATGGGTACCACACCAAAAAATCTTGGACAGAACTTAAAAAATCTGCACATTGACACTACTTCCATCTGTCCATTACAAAAGCCCACTCTGCTTGGATCCGTACATATAATACGCTGCTACATTATGACATCCTAGATTTGGGGGAAGAACTTAAAGGCCAATATCAGCTAAAGAACTGACCTGTGATTTCACATTTTTGTATATATAACAACAACAACAATAGCGTGAACAATAATTTTCTAAATAAATATATATTGGTTTTGTCTTTCAGTGTTTTCCAGGGTGCCTGACAATACAAATTAGAACCATTTTGTGTATTTTTATTGTGATCTTAATTTACTCAGTGGCACAAGGTTGCGTGGTAAGTAATATGAACCTGTAAATAAATTGTTATATACAGTGTGGACAGATACAAATACAGAGACAAGTATTCTTAGTGGCACCTCTCCTGACTTGGAAGCAAAAATACTGCCTCACAGCCATCTGGATAAGACTTAAAACTTGGCTTTTCTAAAAGACATTTAATGATGAAGTAGACAGAGAAGATTCATATCATTATTGTCTATTATTGCTTAGAGATTTCTTATTGTTGTTACAACATTTTTATATTATCAAAGACCTATGAACTGGGATAGTTTTTAAATAAACAAATATCATCAATGAGAGATGTACTGTGCCATCAGCTTGCTTATGGCAATATATAATATTAACTGGGCTCGTTATGAATTCAAAACAATACACTGATTGACATATCCTGCTCCTGAGTTATATTACAGTAGCTATCATACTGTAAAAATAGATCTGAAATTGAAGCCAACAAGCCTAGACAGTTCTGAATTATATTTATTGTTGCTGTTACATCTGATAAAGACTAATTTGTGAATGCAATAATCAGGTGAGTTTTTTTTTATTGTATCAGTTCAAACCGTTAGGAATTAACATTACAATAGGTGACATTTCGTCAGTCACCTTTTTTCTGTATACTGAAAGCTTGTTTCATGAAGCATTCACATATTCAGCTCTTAGATGTAATGAAAAATTTAATTGTCTGGATTTTCTTAGAACTTAGCTGAATCTAGTATGACAAAAATAAATTAAATAATATTGTGCCACAGATCATGCATTTTTTAAGTCTCTCAGAGATTGGTTTATTTACTTTTAACTAACTGGTTTTCTAAAATATAAGATAATTAATATTTGTTTTTTCATAAATATCGAAGAATTGAATTAATCTGTTTACTGCATATAGGAGCTGAAATATTATAAGTATATTCATATGCTATCATATGTCTGTGAATACATTCACACATATAAATGCACATTATCAAAAATAGAATCTATACACTTGACTATACCACAACAATGGTGTGATAGCAATGTGGAAGACCATATCACAATACTATATAATGTGTATATAATACTATATATACACTCACATATATATATTCCTATGTTTACATTAGACTTAATTTCAATTTACCTTTTACTCATTAATAAAGATTTTAAGAGAATATTTAAAAGAACTGAGTAAATCAAAAATTGTGAACTAGTTTTCAAGTGAATGTATATCATCTACACTCAGTACTTGTAGAATAGTATCAATTTATGAGAAAATATACAAGTTTAAACTGTGGATATTTCCATACTTTGGAATCCACCAGTAAGCAGGTATGCTTTAAAGAAGATGGTGATACATCCCTTTCTCGAGAAGCCATCCTTGCAACTGACGCTTTTGAGCAATGTTCCTCTAGTTTCCAGCCTAGTGCCCAGTTTTAGAAGGTCTTAGATGAAATAGCAATAGCACTTACTTATTGCTTCATAGTGCTTTATAGCAGTCTCTAACTTATTTATAGATTCAGCATATTGCCCCCCAAATATCTGGGTCCTCATTTTACTGACCTTGGAAGGATGGAAGACTGAGTCAACCTTGAGCCAGTGAGAATTGAACTGCTGCAAATTGCCTGCGGCCCCCTCCTATATAAACAGTTCCAATTGGTGTTGGAAGGGAGGAGGAGAGAGGAGCCCCTGTTATGTGTGGTATTTCAGTGCTTAGATGATTTGATAGCATAGGATTTGATCTCATCAGCATGTGAATGATACTTGACCATACATTTCCATCCCATATAAGGTAGGAGATACTATTGAGATGCTGACCCATTTCAGGATAGGAGGGAAGTACTTCAACTCAACTTTAGCATGACAGAATACTTTGGCTTTTTGAACACATATATACATGTCTCAAATCCTGTGTATCGCCATCCTTGACTTTGAACAGGGTTGGACTCCCCCAGACAGAACTGGTATGTGATTTCACTTGGACCTGCAGCTCCTTCTCAAAGGACGCATGGCCAGGGGACCCTTTGCACAAATCCCTCTCATACACCAACTACACCCAGTCCTGGACAGGGCAGACTTCCTCATAGTCATTCATATCTTAATCATTACATAACTGAATTACTGTAATATGATCTACAAGAAATACATGATCCAGAATGCAATGAGTACCCCTGGAGAATCCCTGACCCAGAATGCAACTAGTGCCCCTGGTTTGCCTGTGTTATATTGCTGCTGTGTGAGCTGCATTGTGTCTTAGTTTCTTTCTAGGTGCAGTTCAAGCTGATGGTTATCACTTTTAAATCCCTGAAGGATATATGACCTGCTAATTTGTGGACTGCCCCTCCCTAGAGTATGTGCCTATCCCATCTTTTCATTGAACATGGTGGGCATGCCCCAGGTCCCTTCCCTTGAATGTCAGTCTGATGGAACCTCAAAGACATGTATTCTCTGTAACTGCCCTGGCTCTTTGGAATAGCCTACCACCTAAAGTCTGGAAGATGTAAGGACCTGCCTCAACTAATTATTCCAAGAAAGTAGAACTCTTGAAACTGGCATTGTTTCAAACAGGAACTTTTATTGAGAGTTAGTGATAGCAGGACAGCAAAGCAAGATCTAAAGATTTCCTGAACAAATTGCTACATTAAACCTTTCATTCACAAAACCCCATGCCAGAGTCCAACTGTCCAATTCACAACCAGCCAATCCACAGGTGTGAAATTGTTATGGGAATCAGAGCTGATAAGGGACAGTTCCCAGGCACTTCACTGGATCTCACAACTGAGTGGAGATAAGCCAGATGGCCCCTGGCATATTCTTTTCCCCTTTTCACATCCAAAAAATACATCAAAGTTTAGAAAGAACAAAGTATAGAAAATACATTCATAAGCCCCTACCCAGCAGAGCAAAGCCTCACCCCTCCCACTAGAATGGCAAAGCTCCAAAAAGAAACATTGAAGGAGATTCTGACAGAAGACTTCAGCCTTTTAGTCTTCTGGGCTGTGAAGAGATTCTTCAACCAGACATTGGCTTAGGATAGGGAGGAGTTGGTTCCATGATGGGGTGTGTGGTGCTTTGGATATATGTGATGATGGTGGTGTTGTTTTTATAAACTTATTCAGAGCTGCTTGGATTATTTGATCTAAAATAGGTGGTGGGCATATGATGATGATGATGTTATCCATTCAGTCATGTCTGATTCTTGTTGATTCTATGGGCCTTCACATTTTCTGATCTTGCACTACTTCTTTGAGTTCGTCCATGTTCTGACTGGTGTCAGGTTTGATACTATCCAGCCACCATATTCTTTGACGGCCTGGTTTCCTTTGATGGGCTTATAGGTTTTATTTATTTAATTTTTTAAAAAATACATTCTGCATCTGCTGATCTCATAAAGTCATCTGTTTCAGAGAATTAAGTTATCTATCTATGGGACTCTTCTATTATTTCTATTTGACAAAGCAGATGTATTTCATATCCCACCCATTGAATAATGTCTATTTTCTCTGGTACAAGGTCTCTCTCTAGAAGAGCAGTTCTCAACCTATGGATCGCGACCCCATTTGGGGTCGATCGACCATTTTACGGGGGTCGCCAAACAATGCGATCCGCCATTTTCCCCCCTCAGGGGGCGGCGCCGCGCATGCGCGCCACGCCACACATGCGCGGCACGTTCATGTGACGGGGTCGCCGTCACACAAACTTTGAGAAACGCTGCTCTAGAATAGCATCTGCCTAGAGGCTTTGTTGCCTTAACCATGCAATTCTTTAAATTATTTTGAAAACCAGTTTTTTTTCTTTAAACTTAAGAATAGGTCTGCCTAAATCTATCTGGAATGTTTTTTTTCCCTCTTTTAGAATGTATTTTATGTTTATTTGCCCGTTATGTTTATTCTGCTTTGATTGGTTTTAAATATTATGTTTGGTTTTTTTTTTCGTACTTAACCCAAAGCCATTATTTTGGGGGGCAGTCTTACAAATTAAAATATAAAAACCTACATAAATAAATAAAGTTTAGATTATGAATGACGACAAATATACGTGTCCCAGGATAATGATGCGAGATCGAATTTGGGTCAGTCTCTGGGACCAGATATTTACTCTTCCAAGCTTTTGAACTCATGCTGGAGCCCATCCGCAGGGAAATTCTCTCTACTGGAATGCATGCTTTGGGCTGTTCTATGAGTCATATTTATGTGGTGCCTTCCTATTAGTTGATTGGTGTGTTGATGGCTGACAATTGGCTGTCATTTCCTTGTGGTGATGAGCTGTCAGCTGCTAAGTATTTGATAAGCTAGTGGTAAATTAGCACTCTTGTTAACTGACAAGCTGACCATTTCCCAGACTTCAATCATTTCTCTGACTATCTTTGTACCTGGGTGGCCAGTAATCTTAGTAGATGCAAAATTAAATGTGTGTCTGTGTTCATTGCAATGTGAGGTTACCAATGAGTTCAAGTCTCCTTGTCTCACTTGTGTTCTTGCAATCTGGTGATTAGCTTCCTCCCCATTTGTCTTACATAGTCATGGGCAATCCATGAAGAGGATATACTAATTACATTTGAAATATATCTCACCTCCAAACAATCTTTAAAATGCATAATTTGTTCTTGTATGATAGCCTCTGGGCAGATTTCTATTGCTTCTGAAATGTTTTTGATGTATGTCATATACCGTATATTCCGGCGTATAGGGCGACCTGGCGTATAAGACGACCCCCGAGTTTGATGCCGGGTCGCAAGACGATCGACGCTGAGTCGCAAGATGATCGACGCCAAGTTGCATGCCTAGAAAGTTATCTTATATGCCAGAAACTACTGGTATTTCTGGCATATAAGACGATCGACGCTGAGTCGCATGCCTAGAAAGTCGTCTTATACGCCGGAAACTACCGGTATTTCCAGCGTATAAGACGATCGACGTCGAGTCACATGCCTAGAAAATCGTCTTATATGCCAGAAACTACCTTATTTCTGGCGTATAAGATGACTCAGCGTATAAGACGACCTCCGAGTTCGGAGGCTGTTTCAACGCTCTCAAAAGTCATCTTATACACCAGAATATACGGTACTTTTTTTCCTATACTTTGCCTTTGCGCTTTTTGTGCTTTTTTCTTTATAAAGCGATACTAATACTTCATGTGATTTTAATGCTATGCCTCTGTTTATACAACCAAGGATTGGCTGCTATACACTGCTGGCTTTTGTTTAAGCGATTGTCCACTGGGACCCCAAAGTTTTCTCACAGTTACTATTTTTGAGCCAGGTCTTGCCTAATCTGTACTTGTATCTTTGGTTTTTCATGCTTATGTGTAAAACCTTGTCTTTCTCCACATTAAATTTCATGTTGTTGGATAGGATCCATTGTTCAATTCTATTGAGATCTTTTTGGATCCCGAGCTTGTCTTTTATACCATATATATGTTATAAAAGAATAATATAAGGTAGTTCATAAAAATCCATAAAGTATTTAAAAGTATTTAAAAATTTAAAAATATTGTAAAAAATATTGTAATCTCTGACTATGTAATACACAAAAGATGGTAAAATGTTAATTTGCAGTTCAGGACAATAAAAGCCCTTATCATCCAGGCAATAAAAGTTATGATCTGGTAGTAAAACTTTACAATAGTTTTAAACAACTTTTTAAAATGATCACTCAGTTTTCTCAGGATCGTTCAATGTATATAAAAATTGTATTTAATTCATTCATGATTATTTAGCTAGTAAAGACTGGAATCCTTATAAATCCTTATAAATATGCAGACAAAAAAAGAAAAGAAAAACCCTCGCAAACAGATCTTTATCTAATTCATTTTGCAATTATGTCTGTGTAAATATGCTCTGTTAATGGTAAAAAGAATTATGTTGTCAATACTAAGAAAAACAGTTCAGTCTATATAAAGAAAATTTTCTCAATGCTGAAAAATTTTCTCAGTGCTGATATCATCTCAGTGTCAGGAGAACAAAGGAACAAAGGAAATTGCAATCTGATCACAGTATACAGAACTTCTTTTGATGATAACATGTCATCCATGTAGCAGCACCATCACATTGTTTTCTGATTCAAGGGAAACTGCAGCTCATTTCATTCTCCTATTGGCAAAAATCCCACTACTCCTTCACCTTGGCCCTCTGTTTCATCAAACCGTTAGCCTTATCATGCAAGAAGTTTTTCTCTTTCTGTAGGCACTGTTGAAAGCTTGTGTCACCCTTCCCCAATCCATCTACCACAGGAACATATTGTATTGGTCACAATATTAGAAAGAGTTTCCCATCAGAACAACTTCTTAGTTAAATGCATTCCATATAAATGCATTTAAATATACATGCTAAAAAATCTGGAGAGTGAAACTAGCAATTTATTTCATTTTGATGTGAAATATTAGTTAGGAAATTACTTTTATTCCATGACTGCTGGTACCTCAGTAAGTGAAGTGGATTATATGACATTGTTTGCACTTTTCTGTTTATCAACTTAAGGCATTCTCTGCATGTTTTATGTTTTTCAATAGTACAAAGTTTAGAATGGAATGGAATGGAAAATAGAATAGAATAGAATAGAATAGAATAGAATAGAATAGAATAGAATAGAATAGAATAGAATAGAATAGAATAGAAACTGAAAGGGACCTTGGAGTCTTCTAGTCCAGCCCCCTGCTCAAGCAGGAGAACCTATACCATCTCAGACAGGTGATTGTCTAGTCTCTTCTTAAATAAGTTTAATACAGGATGTTCCAAACTTGGAGAATGAAACTAGTGATATGGAAATTCCATGTATTGTAATGGTTCATTATTGAGGCAAAGTAGATAAGAAACATCCTGTGGCATTATAACTCTTTTCTTATTAGCCTATATGAGAAGAGAAAATCATTCTTATAGGAAAGGAATTTAATCTTTTCCTGTCCTGTCCAGAACTGGTGGAAATAAATTCAATATGCATGACAACTGCTAGCCTGTTAATTTATTATTAGTGAAGGGTATTCCCCATTTAAGGCTAATAGCTATGAGCAAATGAAGGGAAATTTACCCAGATCAGAATAGGATACAATAGAATAAACTGTCTACCGATTCATATATGCACACAATGATGAAAATTGTCCCTCAAAGAAGATACATTTAAAATTAGCAATTGCAAATACTTTTAACTTCACATTGCTTCTAGGACTGAAGCTATCATGTACAGTATATCCAAACTCAACTTTATGATATTATTTTACAGTGAGCTTGATTTAACATATACTACCTTTTTTCCTGCAGATCGGTTGTATGCCTTGGATCTGGAACACTAATTCCAGCAGCTCTATAGTTATAATTTCTTCCAGTGGGACAAATAAAACAATGACTGAACTTCCATGTGATACAGCCCATTATGCATTTCTCTCCTGTGTTGTGGGGACTTTGACCCTGGCAATATTTTTACGTGTATCTTCTTTGCCAAAATTGATCCTCCTATTTTTTGTTATGATTCTCTATATAGTTATTTTGGAGCTCAGTGGATACCGAAAGGCAGTAGGGTAAGTATTTTCATAATTACAAATTGGCATAACCTCTGCTTCCATAATTTATTTTCACACCTATAATGCAGTGCTCTTTTATAGGAGGAAACGAATTTTAATATGTGTCAGAGATTTTGAAGATGGTCTTTAGCTATGTATGTCTCCCATAGAACAAAGCCCTGTATTGAGTTTGTTATATTTATCGCTACTTTTCTTTTGCTTTTTTCCTCCATCTCCTTTTTTAATCCACCATCAGATTATTAAAGCCCTTAGTTACAGGAACTTACTGATTTTATATGCCCATCATTATATTGCCTGTCTTGTTTCTCCAACAGAGTCAAAAGCCCACTTTATACACTTCAGCCTGTGTCTCAACTGAGAGATGAAGTGTACAGTGGAAGCACAGGAAGAAACCAAGACACTTACAAAAAATTGGGGAAACTCCTACTCTGCTCCACAAGTTTAGAAGGGCTATCCATAGCCTTTCTTTTGGTTGCTGCTTCTACTGCTCTTTTCATATTCAAGTTGCCCATAATAAGTAGTAACATTACACCTCTTAAATTCTAATAGTTTACCATTAGATGTGGGATCATCAGTTGTATTATTTTCACTTTGTGAGAATAGCAAAGAATAAAAGTTTGCATCATTTGTTTCTTTTTAAAGAGATGACTCTTTTTATATACGCGGCTATGAACCAGTATTAGCCATTTTGCTGTTTTCCTGTGCTTTGGCACTTCATTCAAGGCAGGTGGATTTGAAATTACGTTTGGACTATCTCTGGGCTGTGCAGGTAAGAAATATTTTTTCTTAAAGTATTGTGTTAAATTCCCAGTTTCTATATCTTCTTACTATTTACAAATAATTTTAACTAGCAAATTACCCATCAAGCATATATAGAAATACAACCATAAATATGAACTGTATAAATTTGGGCAATGGGCAGTTCCAGCCCCAACAATTCTTTCTGGTAGATTTACCTTGGCTTACATGTATGTATATATGTATGTATGTATGTATGTGTATGTATGTATGTGTATGTATGTATGTGTATGTATGTATGTATGTATGTGTATGTATGTGTATATATATATATATATATATATATATATATATATATATATATATATATATATATATTAAATGAACCTCAGTTTTGTCAGCTACTTTATATTTGTCCTTGTCTCAAGCTAATGCCTCCTCCATTGACCTGGGGAAGCTTAGACTATTACTTTGGCTTGAATAGCTGCCCTAGATAAGAATCAAGGTAGAGGATGGGTAGCCCTTACTTATTGTAAGATAAGGGGAGACAAAGTCCCCTCTCGGGCATTAGTAAGAAGGCATCAAGATGGGGCAATCTGGAGTTTGGGGAGGAGGGAAAAGCTGAGATAGGACTGTATGAATGAGATAGAAGTGGTTCAGTATGGATCATTCCAATGCAAGACAGTCTTCCAATTTCTTTACAATCTCTACTTCTTTTTAAAAAATATTTTATTGATTTTTAAAAATTACAATCTTTAGTGCTTAGTAAACAATATTAACTTTTTCAATATAAATCTGTTCAATACTGCACAATCCAATATTTTTCCCTGATCCTTCCTTTCTTCCCCATATTTTTTTCATTTCTCCCTCATTACACAGTTACAGTTCTTATTACTATTAGTGTATACAAAGTTAGATATAAACATCCTCATTGTATTTTACTAATATAACAATAATATCAATTCATAAATCTATATCCTGTTTTTCATGTTCTTATTAAGGTTTAATTTCCCATCAGTATTTGAAATATCTTTGTCAGTTATGATTTTCTCAGTATTAATTACATTTAGCTAAAGGTTATTCATGCCAGCCATCCTCTTATTTTCATATTTCCCATATCAAAAGAAGAAAAAAGAATGCTATTTTAATTCTAAATCATATCTTTCATTATCAAAGTCTAATTATATCTAAGGGCTATCTGTCCTTTTAATCATATGCAAACAAATATTTAAACATGTAATGCCCCCTCTAATAGGTCAAGTCTTCTGTTTTTTAAATCTAACTCTCACTTTCTTTCTTTACCAAGTAGCTTTCCAAGCTAAGGCAATTAAATCACCCAGGAATTTTCTTTCTATTTTTGTAAAAGTTATTTGGCATGAGGAAGACAATTTAGTATGGTATTTTTTGGAAGGAATTCTGCCCATTTATATTCCTTAAGCAACTCCCGCTTTCCTTCTCTCTCAAGTTCTCTTTTCATTTTTTGTCTCCCAATTTGTGACATTTCTCCTGACAGCTCTATATTCTACTTTTTAAAATCTTCTTTCTTATCATCAGGGATGTTTTGCAGACCTAAGGGGTAAAGCATTTTTTTTTCATTTTTGTTATTATGGCCAAGTCTTGCAGTATTTTATGCGTATATGGTAATATATATTTCCCTTCTTTTACCTCTTCCGTCTCTAGGTCCATTTCCTCTGCTTCATCTTCTGATTTCTGATTTATTTGTTCATACTTTATAGTTGTCTGGGAATTTTCTAGTTACAGATTTAGTTGGAGATTTGCTCATTTACATTATCTAAATTATATTTAGTCTCATTATGGTTTCTTTTTGTGTTCTCTTTATGTGAAACAATTGTTTGGTAAATTAGTTGTAACAAAGTATATTTCCTTCTAAAAGATGTTTATTTTTTCTTGACGCATCATTCCTGGGGATCCTCTGGTATCATCAGTCTTAATAAGAGTAGAACCAGTCATAAACCCAATATTTTGTAGTAATCTTTTGTCTCAGGTGTTCAAAAATTGTCAGTCAGGCAAAGATGTAATCTACAATGTTCAAGGTGTTCAAAATGTTCAACCACTCTGAAAACAGCTCAAAAATCTCTCCCAGCCAGACCTAGTCAAAAGTCATTTTTTTCTTTCTCTCCCAGTAGTTCTTGAGATTAAAAGTCCAAGCTCAGTAAGTGTTATAGTCCAAGAAGCTCAGGGTGATAATTATGTCAAAATATTTTCCTTTATTGCTAGCTGTTCTCTATTAAGCTAGGAGTCACCAAGCAGTCAGGAAGCTAGTTCTAGTGCTATATTCAAATCCACTATTAGATGTCATTCAAAATCCATTTTCCACTCTTAAGACAATTTCTTATATTTACCTCAATGTTTTTTTTCTTCAAAGAGAAAATTTTAACAATTATCTCAGTTCTCAAATTTTTCAAAGCTGTAGCTTTATATTACTTCCACTTCAGTATTATGTATTTCTGTCCCCATAAAAGAAATTAAAATGCCGCTTCCATTCACATTCAGAGGTTTTAGCCAAGGAAATTCAGTTGTAAAATAGTAAAAAAAGGATCAATGTTCTCACCCAGTTCCAAACATGCTGTTTATGATCTGCTAATTGGTGCTTTTTATTCTTCAGTTGTCAGCAGCTAATGGCTGGCCACAGGAATGTAGCCAGTCTCTTCCCTGCCGGTTTGGAGGACTTTCCTTGGATTGAACAGAAAGACCGCCATCTCTCCATGATCGACAAGGCATCCCTCCTTCTTCATCATCTCTTCAGGGTGACTTTAGGCATTTTTAGGGCCCCCAGCAGAGTGAAATTGGGCCCAGAAGGCATAGCCTTGCCTTCCTGTGTCTGTCTCACTGTGAGGCAAAACTGGAAATCACAATCTCTACTTCTAACTCATAATCTCATCTTGATAACTGAATTGCCCAGTTTCTTGGTGTTCAGGTGCTGTGGCAAATACCAGATCTGTTCATAATAAAAGCTCATTCATTCACAATTTGGTGGTGAATGAATAGGCAGATCTGGCATAAATTGTAAAATCATAAGGATGGGAATGTTACTCTTTCAGAGGATATGGTATTCTTTGGGTATATTAGAATAGAATAGAGCTGAAAGGGATGTTGGAGGTCTTCTAGTCCACCCACTGCTCAAGCAGGAGAACCTATACCATTTCAGACAAGTCACTGTCTAGTCTCTTCTTAAAAATCTCCATGGATGGAGCACCGACGATTTCTGAAGCCAAGCTGTTCCACCGTTAATGGTCCTCAATGTTAGGAAGTTTCTCCTTAATTCCAAGTTGCTTCTTTCCTTGATTAGTTTCCATTCATTGTTTCTTGTCTTGCCTTTTGGTGCTTTGGAAAATAAGTTGACCCCCTCTTCTTTGTGGCATCCCCTCAACTATTGGAATATTGCTATCATATTACCTCTAGTTCTTCTTTTCTCCAGACTGGCAATAGCCAATTCTTGCAACCGTTCTTCATATCTTTTAGTCTCCAGATCCTTAGTTGCTCTTCTTTGCACTTTTTCCAAAGTATCAACATCTTTTTTATAGCATGGTGACCAAAATTGATTGCAGTATTCCAGGTGTAGTTTCACTAGGGTTTTATAAAGCGGTACTAATACTTCATGTGATCTTGATGCTATGCCTCTGTTTATACAACCAAGGATTGTATTAGCTTTTTTGGCTGCTGCCGCACACTCCTAGCTCATTTTTAAGTGATCATCCACTAGAACCCTGAAGTCTTCTCACGGTTACTGTTTTTAAGCCTGATCTCTACTTATATCTTTGATTTTTCCTGCTTAAATGTAAATCTTTGCTTTTCTCCATATTAAAATTCATTTTGTTGGACAGGGCCCATTGTTCAAGTTTGTCAAGAACTTTTTGAATACTGAGTGTAAGAACCCACCCCACTTTGCATCTTAAGAAGACAGAACACTTGGAATATTTCTTCCAACAGACATCTTTATTAAGAGAAAATGGTTGCAGGCATTCTAGACAGGACTTGGGGGCCAAGCCCTATGGTTCAAGGTTTTAAGGGTTTCCTAGCAACCCTACCCCACCCCACCATCCTTCCAGTGATAATCTCAGGCGTTACATTTCCACCCCCTTTTCCTCACTGCCAGCGGAAGGGAGACTTCAGAGGAGAGTAGATGAAAGCCCCATTGTTATGGTTAGTCCTTTTGGTGGTATCCACATTCAGTCCCTTTTGAAGTTGTACCGAAAGAAGTGAGGGCCATAAAACCCTTTTGTTCACCCCCCCCTTCCCCTTCATCGTATGATAGAATCCAGAGAGGGCAGAAATGGGGTTTTCCATAGTTGATAACTAGAGATGAAATATAATTGGATTCTGACACTGAGCTTGTCTTCTGGGGTGTTGGCTATTCCTGCCAGTTTAATGTCATCTGCAAATTTGATGAATTCCCCTTCTATTCGCTCATCTAAGTCATTAATGAAGATATTAAAGAGTACTGGGCCTAAAATAGAGCCTTGTAGTATCCCACTGCTTACTTCTCTCCATGTGGACGTTGTACCATTGAGGACTAATTGTTGAATATGGTTTGTCAGCCAGCTACAAATCCATCTGGTGGTAATGTTGTCTATTCCATCTTTTTCTAGCCTACCAAGCAATAGGTTGTGGTCTACTTTGTCAAATGTTTTACTGAAATCTAAATATACTGTGTCCATAGCATTTTGTTGGTCTACTGATTTAGTGACTTCATCAAAGAATGAAATAGGATTGGTTTGGCATGATCTGTTTTTAACAAACCCATGCTAGCTATTAGTTATAACTTTGTTTGCTTCTAGTTGTTCGCAGATCTGTTTTTTGATTATCTTTACCAGGATCTTCCCAGGTATTAGCCACCTTGCTACCCTGCAGTATTTTTTCCTTGAATTACTTGATTTGGGGAAAGCTCCTGAGTTCATAGCATCTGTGGCAACTGAAGGCTTAAGTAATCTCTGGACCAGCATATGTAGGTGATTATGTTAGATTTTGTTTTTACCTTTGAGCAGTTGTTTGAGATATGGATTTGGAGGA